TTATATGATAGTCATAAGTTTAGTTAAAATTCAACACTAACAAATGAGTTTAGGTTGGAATTCAAGGAAAGGCCTTAAATAGGGAGAAAAGGTCCCAAAATCTTCGTGCAGCAGGAAAAAGTATCTTCCCAATTTAGCTTCAAGATGGGTTCCATCTCATGGCTCCAAGACTAAAATTAACACAACAAAAATTAATATTAACAAAATTCTGTTGTTTACAAAGATGCATAAATGATCAAGGTGAGAAGACAGTTCAGTGTGATAAAACATATTTTAAAGTTATATTCTTTTTTCTTATATATTAGTTCATAACAGAAGAAAATAAATTTACACAGATATAAAAAAACTGGGTCAACTACAAGGTTAAATCTAAACTGGAATTTTTACCCTCTGTAATAGTTCCCATTTCCTTTGTATAATCTCCATCAGATTTCCCATTTTTATCAGCATTAACTAAATACTGCAAAGTCCTTTTAAAAATATTTATTTAAAAAAGTAACATGTTGACAATTTAAACAATACACTAAGTAAATAATAAAGAATAAGGTTCAGTAGCTTTGGAAAACAATCTGGCAGTTCCTCAAAAGTTAAACATAGAGTTCTCACATCATCTTACAATTCCGCTTACAGGTATAGTAAAACCTTCAAAGGCTGGAACCTGTGTAAGGTAGAAACCTATCAAAGAAGAAAACCTCAAATATTTTCCACCAAAACAATGTGATAAAAAGACAGTAAGACTGCATTCTGAAATATTGAAATATTTGGAAAAATAAGGCAATCCCATCAAGTTCTAATTCTCACAGGTTTCACTGTATACACCTAAGAGAAATGAAAACATTATCAACAGAAAAGTTGTACGTGCACATCCACAGAAACATTATTCAAAAGGGAAAATGACTTCAACGTTTCATAAACAGAAACATGGATAAACAAAATATATATAATGAATATATTTCATATAATGAAATACCAACTATCTACTGCCATTGAGGTGATTCTAACTCATAGCAACCACAAGGTTTCCAAGGTTGTAAATCTTGATGGGAACAGAAAGCCTCACCTTTCTCCCACAGAGTTAATGGTGGGTTTGAACTGCCAACTTTAAGGTCCACAGTCCAGTGCTTGTCCCAGGGTGCCACCAGGGCTTCTATGATTTCACAGCCTTATAAAATGGACTGGAGTCCTGGTGTAGTGCTGTCAGGTAAATACTGGACTTCTAACTGAAACATCATCGGTTCAAACCCACCAGCCACTCCTCATAAATCCTGACTGACTCGATGGTACCTAACAGCAACAGCAACTGAATTCTTCACTTTTAAAGGATATATTTTATGACATGCAAATTGTATGTCAACTAAAAACAAAAGGAATAAACTTAAGTTTTATCCTACTGCAAACACCTAATCCTATTCCTCAAAAAGAAGCACTGTTAAAAATGTCTTTGTAACCTTCCAGAAATGAGTGTATCTGTGTGACATCTCCTCTCTTTATCAACACAAAAGGCAACATTTTTCCCCTTGACCTTAGAGATCATTCACTTACAAGTACATATAGATACACTTCATTCTTTTAAAAGATGCTTTCAATGGCATGTGGTGAATCAACTTATTAGTTCTCTACAGAGAGGCATTTGGGTAGGTTCTAGCCTATAGATGCATCAAACATGCGGCAATGAACATCTTTGTAAACAGATCTTTACACAAAAGGATTGTTTTTATGCAAATAACACATTAGGCAGATTCTGGCAAGTCATGCAACCGCTTCACATTAGTTTCCTTTGCAAAGCAAACATATTACATGCGTATGTGCAAATCTGAGTGGGTACATTATGTGCTGAAAATGTGGTATATTTGTAAGATAAATTCTAAGTCAAAGAATATATGTATCTTTAATTTTTATATTTTCAAATTTCAAAAACTTGTGCCAAAGGTTTGCACAGATTTAACATTTTCTCCAGTGATAAAGGAAATAGTCTGCCAATGGTTTATACTACTAGTTTTTGATCTTTGCCAATCTGATAAAATATCTTACATTTCTATAATTTTAAGCAAGAATGAGCATCTTTGTGTTTATAAGCATTTTTCTGTAAACTACCTATTCATATCCTTTGCCTGTTTTCCACTGTTAGTCTTAAAAAATACTTTAAGAGAGCAAAGTAAGCTAATTTTCTATAAAAAACAATACCACATATTTGATTAAGTAACTTCCAGTAAATCAGTCTGTATCCATATTCTCTGCTGTTTAAACTGTAAATCTGGTGAAGAATAATCAAATATTCATTTGAGAGGATTCTGACAATTTATTTTGGTCATATATGCAATTTAAAACACCAGCTAGTTCATTAATTGCTTTACACGTGGGATGATGGGTAAGAGTTAAGGTGTTTCAGAAAAGGGGACTAAACTTAAAGCTACATCTGGGGGATGCAGCACCTTTGGACAATACAAGTTATGGAAGGTAAGAAGCAAAAAAGACGAAATTTGACCTTTCTATTTAACCATAACTCTATAGGCTACACCTGAAAATATGGGTTAGTTTTTTCACTATAAAATGTGGGAAATATGGTCACGTCTAAGTCTATGTATGCTGATGGGAATGGTAGAAAAATTTTGGCAATTATTAGTGTTGTGGATTGAACTGTGCCTCACCACCCACCAAAAGACATGTCCAAGTAATTTTTATTGTTAGGTGCCAAAGAATCATTTCTGAATAATAGCAACCCTCTGCACAAAAGAATGAAACACTACACAGTCCTACACCACCCTCACAACTGTTGCTATGCTTAAGTCCTGCTGCCACTGTGCCAATCCAGCTCCTTGGGAGTCTTCCTGTATATCACTGACCCTCCATTTTACCAAGCATGATGTCCTCCTTCAGGGACTGGTCCCTCCTGATAACATGTCTTAAGTATGAGAGATGAAATCTCACCATCCTGGCTGAATTTCTCCCAACACAGATTTGTTTGTTCTTCTGCCAGTCCATGGTACTTTCAATATTCCCCTTCAACACCATAATGCAAAAAACCAGTTCTATGATCTTCCTTACTCATTGTCCAACTTTCACATGCATGAGGCAATTGAAAATACCATAACACAGGTCAGGTGCACTTCAGTCCTCAAACTGGTATTGTGCTCTTGAACATTTTAAAGAGCTCTTCTGCAGTATAGTTGCTTACTACAGTACGTCATTCAATTTCTTGAGTGCTACTTCCATAAATGTTGACTGTGGATCCAAGCAAAATGAAGTCATTGACAATTTTCCTTCTTTCTCCATCTACCATGACGTTATTTATTGGTTCAGTTGTGAAGATTTTTGTTTTCTTTACTTTGAGATGCAACTCATTCTGAAGGCTATATAGTCTTTGATCTTCATCCATAAACATTTTAAGTCCTCTTTGCTTCCAGCAAGCAAAGTTGTATCATCTACATATCACAGGTTCTTAATGAGTTTCCTCTGATCCTAATGCCACATTCTTCTTCATATAATCAACTTCTCTAATTATTTGTTCAGCATACAGATTAAGTACGTATGGTGAAAGAATACAACCCTAGTGTACACTGTTGTAATTTAAATCATTCAGTATTACCTTGTTCTATTCAAATGACTGAGTCTTGGACTACGTACAGGTTCGTCATGAGCATAATTAACTGTTCTGGAATACCCATTCCTCACAATGTTATCCATAACATATCATATCTTTGTGATGATCCACACATTCAAAAGTTTTTGCATAGTCAATAAAGCACAGGTAAACATCTTTCTGGTATTCTCTGCTTTCAGCCAAGATCCATTTGATGTCAGCAATGATTATCCCTAGTTCCACATCCACTTCTGAATCCGGCTAGTTCTTGCAGTTCCCTGTCAATATATAATTATAGTCATTTTTAATTATCTTCAAAATTTTACTGGCATGTGGTATTAATGAAAGTGTCTAATAATTTCTGCTTTCTGTTGGGTCACCTCTCTTTGGAATGGGAACAAATACGGATCTCTTCCAATTGATTGGCCAGGTAGCTGTCTTCCAAATTTCTTGGTTTAGATGAGTGAGCACTTCCAGTGTTAAAAGATTTCAATTTGTATTCCATCAGTTCATGGAGCCTTGTTTTTCACCAGTGCCTTTAGTGTAGCTTAGACTTCTTTCATCAGTACCACTGGTTCATGATCATATACTACCTCCAAATAACTGAACATTGATCTTTTTTTTTTTTTGTACAGCAACTGTGTATACTTTTCCATCTTCTTCTGATGCTGTCTGCATGATTCAATATTTTGGCCATGGAATCCTTTAATAGTTCAAGTCAAGGCTTGAATTTTTTCTTCAGTTCTTTCAGCTTGAGAAATGCTGAGCATGCTGTTCCCCTCTGGTTTTCTACCTCCAGGTCTTTGCACAGTTCATTATAATACTTAATCTCATCCAAGTTGTAAGCCCTGGCATTATGAATCTGACCTTATTTCAAAATGTAGTCTTTTAAGATGCTGTGGTTATTGTTAAGTGCTGTCGAGTGGTTGCAACTCCTAACAACCCTGTATAGGGTTTCCGGGGATCGACTGGTAGATTTGAACTAACCTTGTGGTTAGCAGTCCAGTGCTTATCCTACAGTGTCATATTTAGTTAATATGAAGTCATATTAACAAAATTAGAGTGGACCCTAAATCAATGACTGCTGTCCTCTTGAGAGGAAAATTTGGACACAGAGACAGAGACACACATGAAGAATGCCATGAGAGGACAGAGGCAGAGATTAGAGTGAAAACAGGACAGAAACATGGAATAGATTCTGAAAGAAATGACCCAACTGAACCTGATTTCAAACTTTTAGTCTCCAGAACTGTGAGAGAGTACTTTTCTGTTATTTTTAGGCTCATCCAGTTTGTGATGATTTGTTACTACAACCATAGGAAACATACAGGGAATACTGTAATATTCTGTTCAGATTATGGTATCTTTGGAAGATTTTCCAAAAGAAGTTTGTTTAAGCGATTTGCATTATAAATGCCTACCCTGTGTTTGGATATGGCCATCCTACCCTGCTGCTTGCTTGGAGCCTGCTGTAGGGGGCACAAGACTGTCCAGCTGTTGGCGATGCCCTGTGTTAATTAACCACTCATAAAACTTGTTCTCCACGAGTATTTGAAACTGCTTCCTTTGATCCCTAAAATTGCAAATCAAGAATAAGGAGAATGTAAGAACACTAATTCACATACATTTTACGCTAAGTGATTATAAACGATTTTATAATTATTCCTAGCTATCTATTTTCTTTCCAAATACCTTCTCTGTGTAGAGGACCTTGGACCATCATCACCATCACCCACACACAAAGGACTGGTCAGATTTGTAAAGACATACTGTCAACCATTATATTTTGTTCTACTGTGGTTATTCACTCAACAGATTTTTACCCTGTCAGCAGGGCCAAACTAACTACTGGGTAGTGTTCTGACTGATGGGGATAGGTGTGCGGAGAAAGAGAGGAGACGAAGCCTTTATCTGGGAAGGTCTGAGCTGTACAACTCCACCAGGCATCATTCACTTTATAATCAATGTACACTATGGCCCGTGTGGACCTTACGTGCCAGTAGAGAAGACAGGTAATAAAATATGTACAGTTTAACAATTATATGTGCCTTGGGAAAAAATAAAGTAGCGTTGAGCTGGGAGACAGCTGAGCCTTGGTTAGCTAGGAATGACCTGACCATGGTGTTCTGTTGAATATCAACAATTGTGCAGAGTGCCACCACCATACAAGGCCATTGCCATGATGCCAGATCAAGGCAAGAACAAGACCACTTCATAATCAAAGCTTATTACAGACAAAAAACAACAATGCTTTGTGGTCCAAATCACATAAACAACTAAATATACTGTTTCCTGGCTAATATGAGTGACTGCTGATTTTTTAGTTATAGTTCTATCCCCATTTAATTCCTCTTACCTTCAAGACAATGATTAAGATATGAAATCAGAGTTTCTTTACCTCTAGTACACAGTATCCAATGTACAACCAAGCCATACTTTCTAGAGGCCTTCCTAAAATCACTTAACACATGCCCAAATCCATTCATACGTTCCCTTAGCACCCTTTTACAGAGATGACACACTGTTCCATATGTTTCCCAACCTTTTTCTGAAATCAAAGTAACAAAACCCATTTGTTCTGCTGATGTGTGTTGCTCCTGGTGGCCTTTGGCAGGAGGGCAATGACAAGTAGGCTACAGGCCAGGAGTGGGGTAAATAAGGAAAGGAATGGCAGGACATGAATGGTAAAGACTTTGGATGCTATTCCAAGTGTGCTAGGAAGCCACCAGAAGGGTCAGAGCAGAGAACTGATAGGATCTCATCATCTTCAAAGGATCACTCAGCAGTTGGTGTTTTCAGGCTGATCAATAATTCTTCTATCGTCCTATATTCCCAAAGTGAAACTGACTGCTTTCATTGTTTCTAGTGTCATCACGGTACTCGCTGTTTGAAAATACTATGACTTACAGTTAACGTTTTCCAAATGCTTGCCACATTCTGCATGTGTGTAAGCTTTACACATGTGTTAAGAGAATGTAGCATCTAAATACATATTAGAAACATTCAAACAGTAGAAGTGTTTTTAAAAAGATGGGTTTTTTTCAATGATGATCATTTTTAAGTCACATTACTGTAATGTGAGTCATAAATACATATATTTCATTAATCCAGACGGTGAAATAAAACCATGAGTTTGCATCCAGAGAATATCATGGCTGCATCAAGACTTTTTCAATTACTACATAATCTGAGCAAGACCCAACAGGTCAGGTCTTAGATTAAAAACAAAAAAACCCCAAAAACACTGCCATCAAGTTGATTCCGAAGCAACCTTTCATCTGGTTTCCGAGGCTATAAACCTTTACAGGAGCAGAAAGCCTCATCTTTCTCCCACAGAGCAGCTGGTAGGTTTGAACTGCCCACCTTCTGGTTAACAGTCCAGTGCTTATCCTACAGCGGCACCAGAGCTCCTTTTTCTTGTACTTAAAATAAGGCTAAAAAAGAACCATATGCATCTGTTCCAACTTAACACTCACTTTGTCAGACGAGCCTCCTTTACAGTTTTCTGCCAGATGTGTATCTTCTGTTCTCTCTGACCCAGTGCTTTCTGGTATGCAGATGGGAGACCCCCAGGTATCTCTGTTGTGTCCCCTTCCATTTCAAAGGGAATAATGAATACATAGAATTCACAAGGTGGTAAAAACCGGAAGACACTCGTGTGGTTATTCTCTCTGCACACAATCATTGGATTATTCCAATAGTTAGGCACTGTAGCAAGGCCAGTCCTGGCCATATGATCCTCCAGCATTGGGTAATGGGTATGAAAAGGGGCAAAAGTTATCGCCTGGTTGCCAGAGAGAATAAGTGGGCGCGTAGGAGTCAGAATGTGAAAGACACAACTAGTTGTGGAAGAGATGGACAAACGATGGCAGACAGCAATAACTTTAACATTGTCACAGCTGTGGATGTGAAGAGCAGTCTGCACAGGGCCCAAGACAAAGGTGCTATTCCTGCACTTCTCAATTGTCACAGATCTGAAAATGAAAAGGTGAAGAAAATTCCTCTGAATGCGAATCACATAATACATCAATATTTGACTAAAATATTAATCTCAAAGGAAAAAAAAAAAAATCAGTCCTAGCACAAAGGAAGTGTCCAAATGGCAGGACACTGTGTAGACCATGCTTACCGTAAAGGAGAGAGCAGGTAGATGAAAGATTCGTTGCATCGATGAATCTTTACATGTGCCCCTACCAGAGTATCTGAGCTCTTGGCCAATGTCTGCTTGTAAACCTGACTCATTACCACCATGCGGTGCATCCTAGGGGCCACATGAGTATTACAAGCAATCTTAGCTCTTTTGGTTGTCCCTTCAACTATGGAAGAAAGCATATAAAAATGAGAATAAGTTTCAAATAAATGAAAAACAATCATATGAGCTTATACACGTTTACATATTGTTGTTGTTGTCAAGTGCCATCAAGTATGTTTTGACTCATTGCAACCCTGTATAAGGTTTCCAAGGAGCGGGTGTTGAGTTTGAATTGCCGACCTTGCAGTTCAAACTAACCAGCTAACCTTGTGGTTAAGTGCTTATCTTACAGTGCCATACCAGGACACCTGTTTACATATGTTGTTATTTTTGTTAAGTGCTGTCAAGTCAGGTCCGACTCACAGCAACACTGTATAAGGTTTCCAAATAGCAGCTGGTGAACTTGAACTGCCAACCTTGTGGTTCAAACTGACTTCCAGTCCAGCACATTTTAACCCACAGTGCCACACCCGGACTACTGTTTACATATACAAATCTCTAAAATCAGATACATGTGAAGGTAAAAAGTTACATCTGGCTATTAGATAAAGAGGCATTTGCTACACTAGACACTGTACTTT